TAACACCTGTCGTCTTATCCAACTTAGTTGATGTCTCAATTCGCCTGGCTGGACAGGTCAAAGAATCTTAAAGAAAGTCACTGCGGCAGAAGCGTGTTGTCTGAATCCATGCACAACAGTGGAGCCCTCAGTGTTCAGCACAACCACCCCATCTCAATGCTTCCGAACATATTTGTATCAGAAGACAAATCAGAAAATAACGACCATCTCTCAATGAGCACGACCCTGACATTCAGCGGCCTTCCAACTGATATACATCTTTGTATACTGGACTTTCTCAATAAAGTCGAGAGCACTTGCTTGGGCCTGACCAATCACCACTTCTATGCGATGCACAGAAGACGGCACGGTTCCGTTTCTCTTTCCGCGAGGCAACGGCGTCAGTCAGCAGACCCATGTCGCATATGTCGAGAAGCGTGCGAGCTTCGTTTGCATCTGGAGAGATGGATGCCTCGCGGCATGGAGTACTGTACTATCTCTGAAAAGTACGGCCGACCGGCTTCCACGTTTAGCCAGACATATTGCTCGAAGCGCTGCCCGACGAACTCCTCACTGTGCGGAAGGCATCATCCTAGGATATAATTTCTCTAAAACAAAACCTTCTGAAGAGACGCAACGCATTTCGATGACCACGGATATCTTCATAGTGGGTGCCCAGTTCAGCAAATCTAAGGCGTCGGCACGGGACATAGAACACACCAGTAGAGGTCAAGGATCATTAAATATAAGTAGGATTATGAGAGAGAAGATAAGCGTTAACTCGACAGATAGAACTTTATCAAATGCCGTGTCGTACGAGAAACCAACGCACGCGCATGAAAACTAATTCATGAGCAAGATGCTTGCATAGAAGAACAATTGCCAAAAGGCGAAAAAACAAAAAAGACCACGCATGTCAACCGCTGACGGGAATTGAGCCCGACGTGGGGGTCGAACCCACAACCTTGAGATTAAGAGTCTCACGCTCTACCGATTGAGCTAGCCGGGCGGCTGAAGCGCTGCCATTGGCTGACTGGCGGTGGCTCTGCGGTGCCCAAGTGTGGCGGAGACGGAAGTTGACCGACTGAGGTTACGATCGACCCATCTGTCAAGAGCTCTCCAAAATTGCCTGCGGACAAACTCAGTAGGGGTGACTGAAAGCGCCATGCATCATTCGACAAAGCAGGGTTTACGAGTTGGGATGCGGACGCGGCATCTCTTGTAGATATGCTAGGCTGCCACAAGTATTTTTACTATGCTTGAGAACGGACGAAAATCATCATGCCTCAGTACCAAACCAACCTCCGGCATCACGAAAGTCTGTTCTTTGTACTGTCTTAATCTTTTCTTTTGTAGTGCTGCGTTTGGCCCAACTTTATTGATGACTGCTGCAAAGTTCACCAGTGTGTTGGAGTTGAAACTGACGCAAGGCGTGCTCAGGCCGATGAGGTTCTGGGAAATATTTCATTGAAGAGAAGATCCATAGTCATGTGAAGTATTTTCGATTGGTTTCAGGTCTTTCGACATGTGACAATTTGTGGTTTTCAACAAGGAGCAGATTACGCGCATGATTGTTTGGTCAGATGCATGATCTATCAAGTTGACAAGGCAATGTACCAAAACCCACTCAATCACGCGCTCTTCATTATCCCTTCCGTAGCCCACATAGGTTCCAGCTGTAATAAGACACTGTTGAATCCGTGCTCAAGATTGCTTCTTAATTTGCGGCTTCCCGGGAGGGGCTGGGAAGGGAGTTCAGGGTCTTGCTATGCTTCGCCATTCTTTGTTTCCGCTGCCTTCTTCGTTGTCGTCTTTGTCGCCGTCATTTCTACTGCCGTTTTATTACCCCTTTTGTTTCATCTCTTTGGGCCTCGAAGCGTCTCCACATCAATTCAGTGGAGGCAGCGTAGCCAAACGATCTAGAATGTTTGACTCTTCGTGTAAACTTTGGAAGATAACGGACCTCGTTCCCATGGTTGCCGCTAATCTCTACTACACTACCGCCTTAAGATGGAGGCTGACACAGACATGCAAAACAAAGAAACACAAGAGAAACCCTACATCAAATGGAAATACACTGGTTCAAGGCCATAAGATGTTCATATGAGAAAGTGAGCTTGAAGTATTAATCTTGTGATCCTTTACACCACTGTGAGAAGCGGAGTCAGGCAACTCAAAGGCAACTCAAACAGTCACCACTCGCATTTCCTCTCCCATTTCAAATGGAATGCCATGCTATTATCTGACTTTGCCGTCTTGGTGGGGCTAGTTGCCTCTGCCTGCCACTGCAAGTAGGGTTTAAGACAGAATTGTTACCATAACTAACCGGCACCAAACGATCGCATCTATAGCATGTTCTAGACGTCTTTGGAGAGAGGCATTGTAGGGAGAATAAGCAACTGCCACAGATTTCATACATACTTCCAAACAAAGCTAACATCTGTAGCAATGTTTTGCGAAATCCATCTTGGCGAAGCCCCAGACACAACCATACTACATTCCCGGGCGCCAGTTCCCTTACCTTCACGGTTGCCGTGGGCCTTCGCACCTTGGTCTATATCAGTCACCTATCCCGCCATTGTCTAACTCATATTTGGCTGGTCATCTTCTACTGGAAGCCATTACAAAAACACGTCCTCTTGGCCTGCTTCTCTAGTCTACGAAATCCACGCGCCATTCTTTTTGCAATAATTCTGTCAAATGGCCTCCCCTAATGGCTCATGCTCTTTGGAGATGATCCCCTCATTACCTGAATGGCGGAACAATACACCTGCCGCGGCCCTCTTGGCACCCAGCCCCGGCGCGACCGATCCTCAAATGGTGGCTTGTTGCTACCCAAACCCAGTTCACGTCAACAACAACTGCTCTCAGTGGTGTGAAATACCCCCCCCCCCAGTACCTCTTCACCCCGGCAAATCCTATGCTGTCCCAATGGATCTTCAGGGAAATCTGCCTGTTGACCAACGGACAAAATCTGACCGTTCTTCATGAGGGATTTTCCATCATTGATTACAACTTCGATGATCAAGAGATCCAAGAGAATATGGCCTCGGAGCTTAAGATCTGTGTCCTTGGGGTGTTTCTGGCTTTCCTCGTCGTGTTGTCGATTGTCGGGACGTTTGACCCTATTCTTTGAGAGGGAGATTTGTGATGGTATACCACTGGGATTGCAGAACAACATCTGGGGTCTAATTTAACAGATGGCCTTACTACAAGTGCTATACGTCCTCCGATTAGAATGCATTGCATCTGTTGAAACTCTGATGCATGTCTTCATTCAGCTGAGTGGCATATGTGTATCGTGATTGTTAGTGAATCTTGGTCGGTGACCAAAGGTTTCAGGCGTACTAGTGCGCGCTTGATCCTAACAAGTCTTCAACTTGTTTCTCAACGCTCTAGTAGATTGCAATTCAGGCGCCATCAAAGTCGTATTGTTGCTGCGTAGACGGGGTCAATCCTGCCCGTCCAATGCTTTGCTCGGACAAAGTTGATTGAACGAGCCTTCCTTTCCTGGAAGTCATTGCAAACACGGCTTGCCATTTTGATCAAGCATCTTACTCAATACTCGCGGAATTCTGCATTGACATGAGGTTCCTTTTCCGACGATTTCGGCGCGAATGCATCGAAATATGTCTTGGTCAAGAAGATGTGGCAGAGTCAACCAAGATTTTCATGGTAGACTTTATGACTAAAAGGAACATGAGGACCCTTCTTTTCCTCCACCCCAACCCAGGCTAGTCTTCTTGACCACCACATAGTGACTTAGATGAGGGTTTCCGATGGACTCGTCATTCTGGCATCGTTTACATGCTTCGAGCGCTTGGCACGCGCGTAGACGACCGTCGCCTTTCCCTCTCCAGGACACCGACGATCGATATCGAACACACCGGTAGCAATAACCAAATCGCTAAGCTTGAGATATCCGAAACTGCGTGGATCAAAATCCGGAAACTGCCTGGTGATGTGTCCGCCCACGTTGGCCAGATTGGCCCAACCCTCGTCGTCCGACGCAGCCTCAACCGCCATTCGCAGCAGTCTCTTCAGGCGGATGTCACTCTTGACCGTCGTTGAAGAAGCTTCTTTGTTGAGTGGTTCAACAATGGCGGCCCTTTCTTGTGGCACTGCAAGCTGCTCATCGTAGGCAAGGTTCTCGAAGTAGATGAACTTGTCGCATGCTGAGACGAAAGGCTTGGGCGTTTTATGCTCCCCGAAGCCGTACACAACCAGACCGGACTCGCGGATGCGCGCTGCTAGCCGTGTGAAATCGCTGTCGCTGGAAACGAGACAGAAACCATCGAAGCGGTTCGTATAGAGTAGGTCCATAGCATCAATTATCATAGCGGAGTCCGTCGCATTCTTTCCCTGGGTGTACGCAAACTGCTGAATGGGCTGGATCGACTGTGTGAGGAGCTGGTTTTTCCAGCCCTTGAGGCTGGTGCCGGTCCAGTCACCATAGGCCCGTCGCACAGAGGCCGTGCCATATTTGGCGACTTCAGCGAGCAGAGCGGGGGCCGCAGTAGGCTGGGCATTATCGGCGTCGATAAGGACGGCGAGCTTGGCAGTCGTCTTCATGGTCATTATGTGTTGGGTCGACGCATACGCAGGAAAGTGACGCCGCTGCGAATAGTTAAGGATACTCGGTTGGATCCTTGGTGAGGATGTGTTAGCGGATTACCTCTTCGGAATTCCGACAGCACCCGCGGCGCCTACAGAGATTAGCTTTTGGATCCTACCAGCTTAGTCAGGTGACATCTGGGAAGGCGAAAGCTTGGCGGGCCAAGCTTACCGTCGCCTAAGTTCTATCCTGCAGCTCTGTGCGGTTTGCATGCTGCACGTTTACGTGGAAACATATGACTATACTTGGGGACTTTCTGCGCAACCAGCTTGAAAACGGACATTAAAAAATATCAAAGCGCTCTACCTATTCCACTGCACCAGCTGCATAATAATTTAAACAAAACTTCAAACCCCGGCCATTCTGCAAACCGAATCTCCATCACTTGATCTTCTGTGCTTTTGCGTCACACACTCTTCTTCTGAGTTTGGGTGCACATGCGCGTCCAGATGTATCTCAAAATCGGCCAGACCAAGAACCCCGAAAGCAGCCCAAGGATAGAGTCGACGAAGCCAAAGCCCCTCTTGGGTGATGAGCCAACCATGTTGCTCCACAGAACCTCCGTGTCGAAGTCACTGACGAGAGCAAAATCCCCCTTCGCCACCCCTCTGACAATGTATTCTGCAACATATTCAGCCGAAAGCATCTTCGTCTTAAGCTTCTCAATAGGGCCATCAGACGACTCGATCCGCTTGGTGAGATCGGGCTTGGTCTTCTGCTCGTCCAGAAACGCATCCGTCATGAAGGTATTCGGGAAAGCGCAGTGCACCTTGTACTGGCAGGTTGCAGTAGAGTAGATGGCGGCTTCTTGGCGGAGGGTGTCAGCGAGTGCCCGTTGGGCACATTTGGGGGCTGTTGATGGTACACATGTGAGTCTGACAATCTCAAGAAGAGATTAACGAATTGAATGCTCGCGCACCTGCATAAGCAATATAGCCAGGAACATTGCAGAGGGCAGCTGCACTGCTAATGAAGATAAGCTGCCGCGTCTTCTGTCCCTCGTTTCCAGAGCTCTTCTTGTCTTCGTCGATCCACAGTTTGAGAAGCGAATGAGCTGGGAAAGCGCTTGTTAGGTAGTTGTTTTGCATGCATTGCTCAAGCTGCTGGCTAGAGAGGTCTGTGAAGAAGCCAAGTTGGGAAACGCAGCCCCCAGCGACGCAATACAGCGCATCGGGAGTACGGGGTTGCTCCCTGAAGACCTTATCGACCTGCTGGACGTATTAAGAAAGGCCCTTGATATCTTTGAAAACTTTTCAACTTTCCTGTGCCGCATTCATAAGATCAAGCGCGACGGCATTGATCTCTTGCTTCGGGCTGATAGCGAGCTGCAAGAGCTCCTCTCGGGTCTGTTGCAACACTTGGAGCCTGCGACCAAATATCGTAACGTGAGCACCTTAATTCTTATTAGAAAAATACTCGAGTTGTTACGGCATTCCCATACCGCGTGCGACAAGGATCTCGGCGATCGACTTGCCGAGTCCAGTCGATCCTCCCGCGATGAATACAACCTAACATTGGTCAGAAGTCAGAAAGCCCACCAAAGAGTCTTAACATACTTTGCCAGTGAAGTTCTGCATGGTAATCTCTGTTGAATCGATGGTGATAGATCAGAAATAACAGGTTGAAGTATGGGGTCTTCACCGTATTTTATTGTTGTTGCCCTTCCACGTCCTCTTAGACGCTTAGTGGTGATGCCGGATACCGGGATCCGGTCGCGTCAGCCCCGGCGTTCCGGGAATGGGGCCCGATCCTCCGCGACGATTGCCTACTCCGGCGGCTGCTTTTCCGGGCAGTAATGCAGAATTTGAATGATTTTTGCTTCCATCTTCCTTTCCGAGGGGTTAGTTCTCTTTTGAGCAAGCACAGCATCAGGTTCATTCACCAGACTGTACTCGTGCACCAAGCAACTACGACCTAGAACACACAAAACTTGCAACATGGCGCTCGCATTCCACTAGAAGCAAGTAAATTCACGTCTCATGTGAGTCTGTCAATGGTACAACTGCCCAGAAGCCTTCCCAAATAAAACAAATCCAATAATATTGGTGAAGTGTTCCGGAGGACGAGTCAACGACTAGAATACACTTTCCGGCGAGCGAAAGGTCGAAGGTCATCGCAGCGGAAGAAAGACTTATCTAAAGAACTCACAAAATATCACATTCTCGCTCAATCATTTACTGGAGTCGATTCGCTATGAGAAACTGCCTGGCCACGAAGTCTCATCCTCACCAGACCGTTGATGAATAGCCTTGAGATGGGAACTCTCCGGTCCTCAGACTCCAAGATAGGCTTTTCTTAGATCAAACTTGACATACTTTCTGTAACGACTCGAGAACTGGACGATTCATCTCACAGCATTGTCGTCACCTTTAGAGCGGCTTGAGTCTCTGACACTATAGTCCTCGATTGAATTTCGCACTCTTCGCGTTGAGTATTCGCGCGCAAGGCAGATCACTAGTAGCTGCGACCACCATACGTTTGGTTTGATGAATCTAAATTCCAAACAGAAGACGTTCTAACATTCTAAACTGATAAAGTGACCCTCGCGAAAGAAAAGGATGTACCGCGCGTCATGTCAAACCTCACTCGACGGAGTACTGATCAAAGCGAGGAGTCAGGGACGTAATCTTGTACACCTGCTGAGCCGCTGTCGGCAGCGCACCCTCCTTCCCACTCTTCTTGATGTCCAACATCTCCTTGGCCCACTCGCAGATAGCATTGGCAAGTCCAACGACCTGTTCTTCGGTGAGGCTGGCGTGAAATGCAATGCGAACGCGGTTGGTTCCCTTTGGCACTGCAGGGGGGTCAACGGGGAAAGCCCAGAAGCGCAGAAGCTGGAGGTGAATTGAGAGGAAGTAGTTGTGACGCGGCTCTGTGAGGACTGCAACGATGTGGGAAAGAATGGGCTGTGCTTCCCACTCCTCGGCCAGAGGAATGTCAATGATTCCAGCGTCACGGACATCCTTGTAGTGTTGATTGTCAGTGATCGACTTGTAGAAAAGCCGAATGTGTTCCTGAAGTCGCATACGAGACTTTCGTCCGTTAGTCAAGTTGTAAAGCTCTGATACCAAGAGCTTTTGAGCACTTACCGGTTCTGTCTTCCCATCTGCGAGGAGTCGGTAAGCTGCTTTGATAGCAGCCAGGGTAGGGAATGATGCGGCTGTGGTGAAGCAGATGGGTCGGGCGTGGTTCACCAACATGGTCCGGATGGTATCGTTGCAGAGTACGGCAGCTACGATCAAGAATCAGAAATGAGCCTTCGAATGGTGGCTGGAGATGACTTACCGCCAGAAGCCCCCAACGCTTTAGAAAAGGTATGTAGGCGAATGGCAATCTCTCTCTGGAGGCCTAGTGCCGAAACAAGTCCAACTCCCTTATCACCAACGACTCCAGTGGCGTGCGCCTCATCGACGATGAATTGGAAGTTTCCCTTTGGCAAAACCTCCTTTGCGGCCTCAACCATTTCCTTCAACGGGCACACGTCACCGTCCATGCTGTAGACCGTTTCAACGGCGATGAGTACAACGCGCTGTCCTCGCTGAATCAGTGGCTCGGACTCATGCACCATCTCCAAAACCTCACGGAAAGAGTCGACGCAGTTGTGGCTGAAGGAGACCTTGACCTTAGCCATGCAGCGCGACATACCCTCGTGGGCGCTGGCATGCACGAGCTCGTCGAACACGATCGCATCGCCTGGCCGGGGAATGGATGAGAAGATTGCCGAATTGCCTTCGAAGCCGGAGTTGACGATAAGAGAACGCTCAGCACCGTGGAAGGCAGCGATCTCGTCCTCGAGATCCTCGAAATAATCGCTGTTGCCGTCTAGGAGACGAGAGCCAGTGCTGCCAACAGTGAAATTGGGGTACCGATGAAGCTCTTCGAGGAAAGCCTCACGGAGCTGTCCGGATGTAGCGAGAGAGAGAAAGTCGTTTGAAGAAAAGTCAATGTTATCTTTACGTTTTCGCAAAGTTATGAGATTATGCTGGCTTCGTCGCATGTCGAGAGCTTCTTCAAGGTTGCGGTAAAAGACGTCCTTCATCTTAGGAGCTCTGAGCTCTTGCGCTTGATTCCATTGCGCAATTTGCGTGAAGACCGACTCGTCTGCTGTGGAGTTCATTGTGTAGACGACGATCTCAAGAAGTGTAAAGTGTAATTCAAAGAGGAATGAGATTGCAATGGCTGATGGTGTTGGCTTCTCGTCTCAACTCTCTGTGAAAGGCTGGCTTTATATGATTGCCAGATGGTGCAATCTGTTTCTTATCCATGAGCTAGGAAGACTCCAGTCTGTGCGTTGGTGCTTGGAATCCGCTCACCGGACTCCGATATCCATGATAGCAATTTTGTGCCGAGTTGTCGGGGTCGCCGTTCTTGCAGTTAGCGCTACGGGCCGTAATCACTTGGCTGACTGCACCTCTGCCATGCTTAACATCCAGGGCAGAACGTATTGGTGGTGTTATCTCCGCTTGACCTTTATCTCGACCTTGGCTGAATGAGGCACCGGGTAATCATGACTCTCTTTTCTGCACAGGTAGATCTGGGTGAAACAGCAGAAGCGCGGCAAAGTCCATTTTCAATAGGATACTAATATCCTCAGCGTATGATTCCAAGTGAATCTTATCATACCTAAATGTTGCGTGACATTTGCGAATTCATCCCTGAACAATGTGTTACTGGCTGCTAGTAGTTGCATCGGATTGGGTTGAGGGGTTGCCACGATGAATAAGGCAAAGTTTCGCTATTCGGGGGAGACCGCTGGCTATCCGGGCGGATAATTGATGGTAACAAGAGGACACCAAGGGTGATAGCAAAGACATGATAAATCAAGATCACGATTTTCACAGGAAATGACAGGTTCCGCTGATTTACGATAGCTTTGAGGAATTTGCCTATCAAGTGCCTGACTTAGACGCAACCGGGTGACGCTCCGAAACTGGCATGTACGAATGACCAGGCACAACTTCGCAAACCCTAGTTCGCAAAATCATAAACCAATCGAGCCGTAACACTCTTCCCGTTCTTCTCAGTAGTGCTAGACTGAGTCAGGCGTCTATGAGAATCAACATCCTCCAAGGCCCAAGTGGTCAACGTCGACCAAGCGCCCTTCTTGCTGTTGCTAAACTCCTCAATAACCTCAGTCACCCCAGACTCCCGAAGCCGCCCACCAAGGTCGCCGCATTGAACCTTGTCAATCGAAACGAATTTGACGTTTGTGACCAGAGCTCCAAAAGCCTGCGTCTTTTGGTCGCGATCCACGCCGTCGAGAACATAGTTATCCTCACTCTTGAAGTTGCCGGGGGTCACTGTCTGTTCCTGGTGGATGCTGAAGATTGGGTCGTCGCCGGAATCCTCGGATGTCAAGGAGTTCTGCGTGATGGAAAGGCTGATTCCGCCACTGGTGAGGACCTTGCGAGTGATCCAGCTCAGACCTTGCTGCAGTTGGGTAAAGGTTAGAGGGGCTTTCTGACGGACGCGAACATTAGTTGCCTACCATTGCCAAAGTGTCTGACAAATCATCCGAGAGCGATCTGTTCTTTGCATCCTGTTAGAATATAATCGTGGTACCAGTTGAATGGGCATTAGCATACCACAATCCAAGTACCGTTCAAGTTGCGGATTGTCTTGGTTCCGGGAGCTGCCATGTTTGTGGGACTTTATGAACCGGCGGACGGGATGACGAGTGAGTTGGTCTGTTCAGATGATAAAATAAATCCGTTACAAGCTGCTCCCAAAATATCTTACGATGGGAACATTTATCAAAACCTAGTGTTCGTGCCGGGAGGATGCATCCCGAATCCAGGCACAATACCCAGTTTACCTCATGGTTTATTGCAGAACGTCCCCGCGGCCAGCTGGTTTGAGCGGCTCGGAGTCCGACAGCTAGAAGGATCAAATCCTACAATGTTTTGCTTGCATCTGATCTGCGGCGACATGATAGCTTACACTTGTCCGCTGTCCGCGTTCCGACGGATTGAACAGCAGTTTCCGGGCCGGACCGGGGCCCGGATTCCGGACCCCACTTGGACCCGGGCAGTCCGCTCTCGAATGTCGATCGAAAGATGGTCAGACTGTTTATTCGTGCCTCGTCAAAAGATTTAATTTGCAATTGACATTTTAGGGGTCTTTTAAGGGCCCAGCAGGCTTGCCTGGAGCATGAGTGTTCTGCATCATGTCCATCATATTCAATTCCTCAACTGAGTACTGATTTAAGTCATCATGGAGTCTGCATCTGTGTCCAAATCCGCAATTCTTCAGGAGCCCAAGATGTCTTGGTTTCAGTGGGCACTTCAGCTTCTATTTAGGAAAAAGCCAACGTATCAGGAGATGCTCAATGGCATCGTCCCCATCCCTGGCCCTCCACGTAAGAACAATTCTGGTAATCTGCCATGATCCGTACTGACAAGTTCTAGCCATACCCCTGATAGGCAGTGTGCTGGATGTCGACATCAATGACACCCTAAAGTCTGTGATAGATCTTATGAGAGATTATGGTATTATTTCCATTCCTGGGACCACGTGTGAGACCGATTCTGAATTGACAAATAACAGGACCCATCATTCAGCTTTATACTGGATCAAC